ACTTGAGGATTGGACAATGAGGAAAGGGTAAGGAGAAGACTGGGAAACAGGACAGTGACAAAGCCATACATTTGTACACACAAGATGGGCACAGCAATGATCCTGAGAAACATCAGCAGGTTTTTGAAACTAGCAGTTAATTGGTAGGATTCTCAACCTGACTAACTATATATGCTGATACCTGTGAACCAAGAAACTGCACTGAAGATAGCAATGTGTAATAGAAGGGTCACACATGGAATGCCTGTCATTCTGGTCTTCTAAATACGTATTTCTTGTCATAACATACCAATTATTACCATACTATCTCACAAGTAAATTTTTTAAATGGATAATAAATGAAAAAAAAAAAGACACAAGAAAAAGAAAAAAAAAGTCACAGTACTGTGCTGCTACAATGCTTTATATGGTTAGATTTCTAAATTTCTGTGTAAAAATGTATTTATTCCTGTTTTTCTAAATTTTTTTCTTCATATTCTATAAGGACTTAAAGCACAACACATCAATACTTCATGGAAAAATACCTGTTCCACGTTATGCCTAAGATGTTTGTTATTTAGACAGATAGTTGGGGTAAACCAAACTGCAAATGTTGCAGGGTAATAATAAGCTCCTCTTCTGGAGGGTTGGCAACCTAAGTTTGCAGATCAAAAATTGGAGAAGGGGAAGGGCTGCAAGATCAGCCAACATTTTGGCTCTAGCCTTTCAAGGTCAGTGAAGACTCAAGACATAGGAGAACCTGGACTGTGACATCATGTAACTCAGTTGTGTCCCAAATTTTCTGATCAAGGAGATTATGGAGCCACAGAGGAATGTGGTCAATGATGTGTAGTGTGCATAGGGAGAGTCACATAGACAGAAAGCTTTCTCTCAGGCTTTCAAGGAGAGCAGGTTGGTTGGGCGATGGCTGTGACTCATCCATGTGGCTGACACTGACAAAGGATTTACGGAGTGCAGTACAGGGTTACAGGATGAATCCTGAGGGGACTTGACTGACCTTATCAGATACAAAAGTTACATTTCTTGTTGTATAGGTCTTGCTTTATCTTGGTCTTAGCCATCCAACAGAAAAGTATAAAAATGTAGTATATAAAGTAAAGTCATATTAATATGCTGAGCTATAAAAGGCTCTAGTCAACAACTTCTGCAGATAACCCACTACTATTGTGTACTGCTGGACTGTGTTTGATTGTTTTGCTGAATTCAAGCACCTGTAGTATTTAGATGCCAATAGAATACCCATCTCTGACAGGACTAAACCAAAAAAAGGGGATACAAAGGAAGGACCATTTTGTATCTGTATATACAGAATAGTTGTGATGGATATACAGCTACTTTCACTTAATTCAATGAGAAGGAAGGTTTGTAGTAATAGTGTTTGGACAGGATATCCTGTCTGCTTCTTGTACTATGGATAACCACTAAGAAGATAACAATGTACAATGTATTAATTGTTGAAAATATCCTATTAATCAGCTTTGAAGAAAAAAAAAAGAAAGTCAAGACAGAAGTCATTCAAGATCTAGGTGCTCTACAATATTTCAATAGCAAGGGAATACCCATCTCTGACAAAACTAAACAAAAAAAGGGGATACAAATGAAAGATCATTTTGGATCTGTATATACAAAATGGTTAAGATAGATATACAACTACTTCCTCTTAATTCAGTGAGAAAAAAGATTTGTACTAATAGTGTTTGGACAGGATATCATGGCTGCATCTTGTACTATGAATAACCACTACAAAGACGACAATATGCAATGTATTAATTATTGAAACTGTCCTACTAATTGGTTTTGAAACTGTCTCATTGCTATTTGTTTCTCAATAAAATTAATTAAAAAAATAAGTTCTAGGTGCTGTGAAAATTGCTATCACAGTAGAGCAGGGAGAGGAAGAAATCTGATCGAGGAGTAGAGCAGAAGATGTGAGGTCTGGAAGGAGATGATGAAGTCACAGTCAAATCCGGGGACAGGAAATGACACATCAGATCTCATTCTCTCTCAGATCAAGACACAGGGAAGGGACAGAAAGCAGGAATAAGACATGCAGCAGAAGTCACAGTAGAAAGAGAACTACAGGGCTAGAAGATATAGCTGAAATCTAAGCCAGACCACTAGACCACTTCCCTTCAGCGGCCAAGACACAGCAATGGAATGCGTAAGAAACTTTAGCTAGAAAATTGGAATAAGCAAAGAAATTAAAGGCAACAAAAAAAAAAAACCAAATGATTAAAAACCAAGAAGAAATAGCTGCAGCAACTGCAGCCACTGTGAAGTCTGTTCTCAGTACCCAGCACCAGGTATACAGTGACTCCTCAGATTGTTATGACAGCTCAAATAGCAACTCTGCAAAGCAAAGTATTGGCAGAGACTGGGATAGCTGTTCCTCACTACTACAGCCCAGCAGCTCAGATGAGCCCCATGAAGTTGGCTAATAAAGAGAAGAAAAGCAAAGTGCTTTGATGAGGAGGGAAAGAAGGGATTTCTCATGTAAGAGAAACCATGAGATGTTTAAGTTTATATGTCTGACAGATAATAAGCAATAAAGGCCTTTCTCTAATGGGAAGGGATCAAGAGATAGAGGAAGTAAGGAGGGAAGGAAGATAAATGGGATTAAAAAAGGAATTCATATATGATATGTACATAGCAACTTCACAGAAGGAATGTAAACATGTACCGTAAGGAATGGATGCAATGTGAGAAAAAGCACACTTTTAAAGTTTGAGACTTTATAGAATTCTCGTTCAGATATCAAGTCCCTGTTCACCAAAGAGTTAGCATTCCAGCTCGCATGGGTGTTGCACTGACTTTAATTTATTGGAAAATACAATATTCTGTAAATATCGGATCAATAATACTGGTGTTAATGTTGTAAAACCCATTTCCTTTCAACTTGACATGAGTATGGAAGAACAAATATATTTTAGTTAATGAATTCTTCTTTTCAAATATATTAAAGCTGTATTTTGGATAAAAATCTCATGCATAGATCTTTTCATGTCCCCTATCTTGTATAATTTTGTACTTAACTTTCTAATTATTTTCATCTCTTGAAACATGAGAAAATGTTACGTAGATGCCCTTTAGATGATCTGGCCATTTGGCACATAATCCTGCACAAATACTCTATGTAGTGGGCTGGGAAGGTAGCTCGGTAGAATAAGTGCCTGCCTGGCAAGCACAGGGTCCTGAGTTCAATCCCTGGTACCATAAAACAAAAATTTTAAATAATAATAATCTACGTGGTAATAAAAGTGTTTTTCTCAAAAAAAAAAAAACTTAAGAGTCATCCATGCTAAGATTCCGTATCACAAACCAAAATTAATGTGTTATCTGATCATCCCAAAAATCAGAAGTATGAGAGATAGCTAAATTTCCCCAAGTGGTCCAACCAGTTCAGTTGCCTCTTTCTGAACAGTAACCTAATGCAACTCAAGGTAGTGTCCCTAGATGAGCCTTTTATTGTCATGTGGGTACTTGTTAGAAATACAGAATCCTGGGGCCCGTTCCTAATCTGTTAAATCTGTATTTGAACAAAATCCCCAGCTAAAGGTCAGGAAGTGCTGACCTGATCTTTTTGGTTAAGGCAAACAGCTTCAGATGAAACCAGCAGCAAATGATTTATTACTTCTCAACTTTGGTTTACTGATTAATAAAAATAGCAGAAAATATGGTATTTCAAATCTCTCTCTAATAAAAGTTCACAGCATGGCAAGGTTGCAAACAGGTGGCCTGTTGACTGGCAGACAATAATAGCCTGCTGGTACACAGATTTTGCTTGAAACACCTAAGAATTTTCTCTTGGCAACACTGACTGGCAGCCTCCTAAACTGAGAATGTATTCTCTAGGTTCTCCAGTAAGCTCACCAACTAAACGTAGCTTAACTCAGTGCAGTGTGTTCACATCTTAGTGAGTGCAAAGCCAATAAGCACATGCCAGAGATACAAGAGTAAAGAAAAGCTTACTTGCCACCAGACAAGACCACACTAGGGATAGTTCCCAACACAGCATCTCCCTGAATGAAGAAAGCAGGGGCTTTCACTGGGGAAACATACGTATTCCTAAAGAAGCATGCTTTCTTCAGAGTTGTACATCCCGTTCACACACCCACACAAAGCAATGTGGGCAAGAATCCCTGTGGGCAGAGCTTTTAGTATTACCATGAGCGAAGTTTACTGTAGATTAGCTAACAAGTGAGTCATCATGACACTGCAACTTTTCTGGCTCCTTGTTTCTCTGGAGGGAACCTATCCAAAACCAAAAAGCAAAACTTAAGGAACATTAATGGTCACTTAAAGTGTTGTAACAAAACCAGAATGGGGAATAAGCGACACGCAGGAAGGTTTGGAGACAATGAATAGCTTTATTTATATCCTTGGACCTAGCTGGGAACAGAAGTCAAGCACCAAAGGTTCAGGGAGGGAGGTTTATATGGGGTAGCAAAGTGGAAGTGCAAAGACAGAGCACTTGTCAACTGGAGATTGGTTCTTACGATGTGCATCAGAGTGACTGACAGTTTCTGGGAAATAGAAGTAACAGGAACTGTAATAGGAGCTGACACAAACTGATGGTTACCTGGGCAACAGTAACCACCAGAAACTGAAGTATACTTGTGCAGGGGTGCGCATTTTCTGCTATGGAAGAGGTAGGTAGCAGTTCCCTCTTGCTATCACAAGCATGGTGATTGTCCCTAGCAGTGCTTACTTAGCATCCAACATAGCCAGTGCTATTCACATGACCTTGATACATATTTGAGAATCTGGCTGAGGAACGACATATGGAAGAGAGCAATATTTCTGAGAAAATATTTGCGAGGTTAAAGATTTTCTAAGTATTAAAGATGCCACTACATAAACTGCTAACTGTATTTGCACCATTACATCACCCTCATGATAGATTTTGGTAGATGTTCTAAAATCCTGATGCGCCGGTCATTATTAAATTGTGTTCATACTAGTCATTATGCAATACGTAACTCTTGGTGTTGTTTCCATAGGTCTCAAAACACTGCAAGCCCCCAAGCTGAGAGTGTTAGTTGGAAATCCCGAGTTGTTGGAAGTGAAAGTCGAGAGCTCTTTCGATGATACTGAGAGTTACCTGATGAAGATTTCTGTAGCAAGCAAATCTTTTCGTCAAGTAAGATTATTCCTTAGCTACAAAAAAAGTCTATTAATTGTAAAAAATGTAGAACATAAGCTAAGAAAAAGATAAAAATTACACTTAATCCTACATACCGAAGATGACTAAGCACTTTTAATATATTGTGGATTTTAAAAGGCAGGTTAGGGGTTCAGAAGAGGTAACAAGTCTGGAGAAGACTATGTCTCACTCTGGCACTGTCTGTACGGCCTTGGGAAAGTGACTAAGTTTCCTCATCTATATAATGGAGAGTGTAGTAATTGTACACACTTTATACAGGTTTTTTTTAATGCGAATAATATAAGTAGGGCATCTAAAGCAATGTCTGGGCTGCAAGAATAGCTCAGTGCTAGAGTTTTGGGGGTTTTTTCCCATATTTTAGGAAAGGGTCTACAGGTATTCAGGGTCTCACTACCAGATCAGACTCGTAGTAATTCTTCTGTTTACAGTCTCCCAAGTGCTGGGATTACAGGCACGCGTCACCATGCCCAGTCTCAATCCTCATCTCAGCACGATGGGGGACGTGGGGGGGACCGGCACAGCAGGCCAGGGGATCGAACCCCTGGCCTCTAGCCTGCTTGCAGGTGCTTTAATCCGCTGAGCTATTTGACCAGCCCCAGTGCTAGAGCTTTTGGCCAGCGTACACGAAGCCCTGGATCTGATTTTCAGTGCTGCAAAAAGAACGCTCTCTAAAATCTAGAAAGTGCCTGATAACTATTAACTTACAATATCTTCCTGTTTCTTTACATTAGATTACACATATACTTTTAGCAATTTGCTCAGTCTTTTAACTACAGTGTATGTTTTAATCCCTTAAATCAATAAATATTTTTCTACATATCTTACAACTTTTTTCTGAGACAGAGTCATGCTACGTAGCCCAGGCTGCCCTTGATCTCTGAGATCCTCCTGCCTCAGCCTGAAAGCGCTGGAATTACAGGTGTACATCACTACACCTGACCTAAAGCCTTTTTATCATGAAAAACTTTCAGATGTAGACAAAAATCGAGCTTCCACATACCCACCACCAAAACTAAACAATAGTCAAGATTGTGCTACTTTTTTGAACTTTTATTCAATATTTTGTTTCTATTCCAATATAGTTTAAAATGAATAGACAACACCATCATTTCAATAGACATCTGTAGAAAATGTGTTTATTAACTTTCACATGACCACAATGCTATTATCCTCATCCCTAAATTTTTAAAATAACATTTGGAAACTCTGGTTATAACTATATTTTTCCAATTCTGGAAAAAAATATTTTTATAGTTGGTATGTTTGACCCAGTATACAAATAAGATTCACACAGTATTGGGCTGGAAAGATGGCTCAGTGGTCTAAAGCACCTACTTGGAACAAGCTTGGCAAAGCACAGGGACCGCGGTTCGATCCCCCAGCACCACATGCCAGGCAGCCCCGCCCCAGGTGGGCTGAGCTGGCCACACACACACTAAATGTAAATAAATTAATTAATTAATTTTAAAAAAAAGATTCACACAGTATGAAATTGTTTTATCTTAGTTTTAATTAAGGGGCTCTACAACTTCATTCTCTTACCTTAGTTGAAATTGAGACACTTATACTATAAAATGTGCATCTTTTTGGATTTTTGTTTACTTCTTTGTACATTTCTTAACTTGTGCCTTTGGCCCTGTGTTTTCTTTTATAATAGATTCCTGCTCTAACTCCTGTTCAATGTGTTTGACCAGAACACATATAAAAATATATCAATTGTAATAGTCATACAAAGCAGAGGCAAAACTGTATACCTTAGTCTAGGACACTCACTAAATTACAAATACCTCATCATATTTAAAGTTCAAAAAATACTTTAAAATGTCAGACAAAATGTATTAAATTTCATTGAATGTTTAATATTATTCAAGGATCAAATATATTTACCGTGCATAAATCCTGCCAAAAATCTATCTATAAAATAGGTGATTATTAAGTATTTTTCTTTAAAATGTAATCCTTTAGAAGTTATTTTATTCATAGCATCAAAGCAAATATACAGGTGCTCATTGGTAAATTAAGAAGTACTACATATATGAAGCAGAAGTAGGTTTCTTTTTTTTTTTTTTTTTTTTTTTTGGCGTCTCCAGATTGCCTCCAGCACTGGTCTGGATTGCCTTGAGTATCTGGGAATCGAACTACCGCTCCCAGAAGTAGGTTTCTTAGTATTTGTTCATTTCCAAATGTTTCTCAAAGCCAGCTGGATTGTAATACTTCTTCCTGTAGAACAATTTACTCTCTGTTATGATTTATTCTAAATAGATTTTTATGGTCAGATCTATCATTCTGTTTCTATTTGAGACAAAATCTAGCTAAATCTGTGAGTTGCCCAGGCTAGGATCAAACTCATGATTCTTCTGACTCCACCTCCCAGAATGCTGTGATTGTAGGCATTCACCAGTGTTCTTAGCTCATTTTACCTTAATTTCCTCACCAAAGGGCCTATCTCCAAATACTTTCTTTCTTAGGCGCTGGATACCCCATATGAGCACATATGAATTTGAGGCGAATACAGCTCAACCTTAAAAGTTAATTTAAGTAACATTGACATATTTGGAAATTTCCAGGGTTATACTTCACTAGCACTGATTATCTGGGGAGCATCCACTGAGTGCTTTGTGACCACGCTGGTGTCAACTTTGAAAAGCAGCTGTAGCTACCTCACGTCTATGCACCATGTTCCTAGCCAGCATATCCCTTATGAAGACTGGATTAGTGGCGTTCACAAAGACAGTCAGGGTTTTAACATGATCAAAACTTTGCCGGTAAGAGTTTAAGCACATATATTGGTTTAAGAATGCCAGGGGCATATTTCTTTTGCATATTCAGATGAGCCTTCAGTTTTAATATTTCTTTTCTAAGGGGTATGAATACTTCACAGTCATTTTTGAATCATTCCATTTTGGGACCATGAAGGTATTTATTTCTGCTATATGAAAACTTTCTAAAATAATGACTTTTCTTGGTAACTTGGTTCATCATTGTTAATGCCATTTTATCCTTTGTATCTTGGGCTTTTGTAATAGAGTACCCTTAGAATAATTTGCCCTAAGGTAATGCATGTGACTGGGCCTATTTCAATATAACACTTAACTTTTGCCTTCTCAGAATCTATGACTCTTGGGGGCTGGGGAGATGGCTCAGTAGAATAAGCGCATCCCTGGCAAGCACAAGGGTTTGAGTTCAATCCCCAGTTCCACCAAAAAAAAAAAGTAATGGAGAATCTATGACTCTTTATTAAATAAAAATTAATATACTACTTATAATTATGACATAAAACAAATAACAAAAATTGAATACTTAGCTACATCAAGTCTGTTTTATAAAATGCTCAGCCATTATTACAGTGAATTATAAGTAGCTCTTTTAGGTATTAAAAGTGATTTTTACTCACAAGTTCCAAGTAATATTATCATTGGTTGAGGCTGTCAAAATTCCAGGAAATAAGAAAATTAAATTTAAAATTCGAGAAAATAAAAGGTAGGAGTATTGGGAGAAGGGAAATTTGCCTTAATACCTATAGCTAAAAGTAAAACATTTGCATTGAATATTTTTCTAGAAAATCAGGATATTTTCAGACTTAGTAATAATGAAGTATACATTTTCTTCGCTTAATCATTTGCAGGTAAATTACAGGCCTCCATCTATTATGGGAATTGCTATTCCACTCACAGATAATTTTTATCATGCAGATCCTAGTAAGCCCATACCAAGAAATCTATTTTACAAGTCAAAGGTAAGTAATTTTTCTATGTATAAACTAGGATGGTATACTTTTGTGTTTAGGAAATTAGTAAAATTACGGATAGATGTAGCTGTACAGATTAGACGCGAAGGTGCAGCTGTTGTTCTCATCGTTCTCACCACTACTGCAGCCCTTTTCCCTTCCTGCTGTACCCTCTTCTTTAGCAGCTACTCTTGGATCTCATTGTTTGTTTGCTTGCCTGCTTTTTTGTTACTGGAGATCGAACTCAGGCCTTCACACTGAGGTAGATCCCCAGCCCTTTTTTTAAGGGTCTTGCTAAGTTGTCTACGCTGGTCTTGAACTTGTGATTGTCCTGCCTCAGCCTCCAGGAATGCTAAGATTATAGGCATGTGCCAGCACCCCTGGCTTTGGATAGCATTTTCAGCTAAGATGGAGAAAGTGCTTTAAAATTGTTGCACAAACTAACAATACGCATTTCTAAACTGTACTTAGTCGGCTTTGTATTACTATGGCAAAATACCTGAGACAATCAACTTTTCTCTGACCATACTGGGTATTGAACCCACAGTCTCATGCTGAGCTACCTGCCTCCCATGCAACCCCTTCCTCTAACCCTTTTGTTTTGTTTTGCTTTGTTTTTGAGAGAGGATCTTGTTAATTTGTTAAATTGCCCAGACTGGCCTTGAAGTTGCAATCCTCCTGCCTCAGCCTCCATAGTACTACAATAATAGACATGTGCCACTACACCCAGCTGAAATTATCACTTTATAAGGAGGAAATTTTTGTTTTGCCTCTTGATTTCAGAAGTTTCAGCCTATGGTCACCTGTGACACAGCAGGGCATCACAGTGGAGAATACATTGTAGAACAAAGCCACTCACTGCACTGAAGTTAGGAAGCAAAGAGAGGGGATAGAGGCTGGACTCCCAGAATCCTCTTCAGTGGTACATGCATGATGACCTAACTTCCTGCCATTTGGCCTCACCTCATAAGGATTCTGGACCTCCCAAGAGTACCACAAGGTGCTGACCACACTTTCAATGCATGTGTTTTGTTTTGTTTTGTTTTGTTTTGTGGTACTGGGGATTGAACCCATGAGCCTATGCATGCTAGGCAAGTGCTGTACCACTGAACTATGTCCCCAGCCCTTTTTTTTAAATTTTGAGACAGGGTCTTGCTAAGTTGCCCAGGCTGGCCTCAAACTCATGATCCTCCTGCCTCGGCCTCCTCAGTAGCTAGAATTACAAACATCTACCACAATAATGTCTGAAAACCCATGGCCTTTTAAGATCAATTTATAAACCACAAGGCGAGTGTGTAGCTCAGTGACAGAGTACTTACCTAGCACATGTGAGGCCCTGGATTCAATTCGCAACACCTCCAAAGACAGAGACACAAACTATAATCTACCCATGACGTTTTGAGGTCAACACAGTTCTTGGATTAAAGAGCTCAGTAGCAAGAAATGAACATCTATGATGCTGAATTCTTCTTCCATCCCCTTTACTCCCAAAGGCAAAAGTTGTCACAAAACAACCTCCACTACCAAAGCATGACTTGACTACACTCACATGCAATTATTTTTTAAAACAAAGAATGCAATTTATTAACACCTTAACATGCTAATTCTTAGTTTTCTATATTCCCCACAGGGGTTCCTTGGTAAATAAGTAGGAAATGTTTCTAATTTTTACCTAACTAAAAGAGTTCCCTCCCCTGCTGTGTACATTTTATGCATTTGACAAATACTAATTTCAGCAGCTCCAGTGTTGGCAAGCATTTAACATGCATTCTCTGAAAAGCAGCACTGAACACAATAAGCCCTGTCTTTATGTGTTTTTCTCTACTAAGAAAGAATAGGTACGAAACATAAAGCTGTACAAATGAAATCGCTCTTCTAGTGCACTGTTTCTGAATAGCATGGTGCTAGGTAACCTGAGCCAGAATTTGGTAGAGATGTTTTTGCAAAGCAGTTTTTTCAATCTTACTTCATAACTATACTGAATCAGAAATTATGGAGTGCAGTCTTGAAATCTGTATTTCAAATAAATCTTTTTTACTCTAAAATTTCACATAAACCAGTATAGAGCTAAAAACAAAGCTAGCAATGTGACTGTGTGTCAGGGATACTTGATAGAGTCCAGGAGGATCAGGAAAAATCCCAAAACAAATGCATGTGCATCAAAACTGAAAGGTGAATCAGGTTGAACAATAAAAGAGAGAAAAGTGGCAGCATGGAATGAGGAAAAGGACAAGCAACCTTCCAGGCTGAAGCCAGGCCAGGTGGTGCATGCTTGTAATTCCTGCACTCTAGGAGGCTGAGGTAGGAGAATCAAAAGTTTGAGTCCAGAGTGGGCTGTTTAGCAACTTAGTGTGATACTATCTCAAAATTTAAAAAATTTTAAAAGATCTGGGAAGTAGCTCAGTGTAAAGGCCCTTGGTTCACTACCCCATACCTAAGTAAATAAATAGATTTTTAATTAAATAAAAATATTTCAAGCTCAGCAAAACTCAATGAAGAGCATTCAGCCTGGAATGGAGAGAGAGAAAGAGAGAGAGAGAGAGAGAGAGAG